TGCCATATGATAATATGAAGTAGAAATTGATAGAACTTGTTGATTATTTAAAAGATCAATTGATCTTGATTCATGTTCTTTATATAAATATCGATGACCTTGAGCTTTAGCATGTCCTAAACGACCATCTGATCCACAACTCCAAGTAAAAACTCGTCCATCTGTTGATAATGCACTTGAATGAATACCACCAGCAGCTATTATTTTAAATGAACATGTACGTGTTAATTCAATTAATGTCCATTCACCTGTAAAGATATGATCTATATCAATACCTAATTTAGATTTATAATTCGAACCCATTGAATAAATACATCCTTGTTCTGTAAGTAATAAAATATGAGCATGAAATTGTCCACGACTAAGTGATATCTTTATTGGTCGATTATTATTATTATTATTATTAATTAAATCTTTTTGTATTGGATTATTAATTGATATATTTCGAAAATTTTCTTGATCAGAAATTTTACCATAAGGTACAGTTGATCCCCATAAATAAATATGACCTTGTTCTGTTATAAAACCATTTACAGATGAACAAATATCAATATGTTGAATTTTATCATTATCATCAGATAATTGATAAACATAAAATCCATTCAGTTGTAAATTCATCACGATTAAAACATCGTTCTTGAATTTGAAAACCATTTACAACAATAATTATAGAATTTTCACCACTAGCACAATGTGTTATTCCCTAGACTGAAAGGCTAGGTTCTACAAACCGTAATTCACTTGTGTCTGTCTGTTCGTCTATTTGTATGTCTTTCTGTCTGTTAGTAAGAAGGACTTGGCACAAATGACCATTCTCGTGGTACAATTGCCCATTTATGTGACATAAGTGACAGTTCTAATAGCAAACATGAACAGTTATTTGGCACAATTGGCCATTTTCATGATACAAATGAACATTTCTGTAGCTCAATTCGCTATTTTCGTGGCACAATCAACCATTTCTATGGCACAGTTGACCATCCTTATGGTACAAATGAGCATTTCTGTGTCACAATCGGCCATGTCCGTGGTAGAAATGACTATTTTTATGGCATAAATCACCACTGTTATTATTTATAATCAACTAAAGCAGAAACTTTGTCATATACATTAGTATTTTTCAATATTTTATGTCAACTGTTTGAATATATCTATATTATGTAATATAGAACAAATTACAAATAATAATAATTCCTCTTAAAGCCATCATTGTACAGAATTCAGTTTTATGTTAAAATATAAGGATGTCTCTGTTATCGAATCCATCAGTCTAGAACCCAATGAATCAACTTTCAATGTTAATGAACGTTACTTGTTGTTTGTTTACTTTGTAAAATTTGTTTTGGTAAATAACCTATACCTTTTCCAAAACCCCATAATTCTCGTTTATCTGTAGTTAATAAAATAGTTGTTGATGGTCCAGATGAAATAAAACCAATTGAAGGTAGTCGGCCTTTTATTAATGTTAATGTTGGTACAATGGTTTTATCATCACCTTGACCAAGTCGACCATATTTTGGTTCATCATCTACAACATATACACGATGATTGGAATCGAGAACAACAGTAAAATTTGTGCCACATGTTACTTGTTCTAAATTTCCTTCTAATCGTTGATTTATTGTTGTTTTTGTTGGTACATGACATTTAATTCGTTTTTGTGATTGAAAATCATATATGATTCCCCATTGATACAAATTTGTTACCATATTGAACTAATTCAAATGCAAACATACATTAAAAAAGTTTCTTTTTATAGTCTAATTGACGAATGCAAAGAAAAAAAAACATGTGTCAATATAGGAATGAGTCATTCGACATGTTACCATAGAAAGAATGACGAATAACAACAACAATGATAACATAATATCACAAACGCATATTAAAGTGTACTGACTTCAAACTATGACTACAAACCATCAAAGCTTGACATTAGTTACTCTAAACATGAGTATTGTAATTTAATTCGAATTCATTCCAATTTTACATGAGATATATTCTTCAATCCGATTATTCTGTCTATCATATTTCATAAACAATCATCTACGACGAATAGAATTATTAATAATTTATTAATGCTTCGATGGTCGAATACGTCTATAGTGCCTTGAACTGAATAAACAAAAAACAAACAAAATGCTTAGTGTGTTTTTAAGTTCTTAATATGATAGATTGTTTTTTTTCTTTTATCTAAAAGACTTCTCATTTGTGTAAAATAGAATATAGAAAATAAGTATAAAAGCATATTGATTTTTAACATGTTTTGTAAAACATATAGATACACAAAAAGTAGAATATGCTTTTCTTTCTATGATTTTAGATAGAACGTTAAATGTTGTGAGTGTGGATATCTATTATTGATGAGAAGATACATACATTTGTACTTTGATAGTTTCCGCTGTTGTTTTTACCTTCATAATATAATGATTAGTATGTATGTCTGTCAACTATTTTTTAATCAGTACAAAGCTGTCATCATATGTCTTCTTCTGTTTCATAGTCATGTTTGAAAATGAATATATCATCATTTTAGTACTTACATGTGCATTTGTTTCTTTTTCTCTGAACTTCTTTTGTTTTGGTAAGGAAGTCATTAAGCACAAAAAGCATAGAATAGAATGCAATCATTAAAATAGAGTTTTATAGATAAGGAAGAGGCGTTGTATTGAAGATTTTCAAACGCAGAAAAAGCTGTGTGTAATGCGCTTCTCACTATATATATATTCGTAATTCTATGCGTAAATCATGTATGAAATCCCTAGTGAACTATTTAGTTTGCTATGCTTAAATATATATATATGTATTGCTGTCATTCAATCAATAAACTAAGATAAATATGAGAAACTAAGTTTTCATGTTGATTAGTGAGTGGTTAATAGATAATCAATTTATTTCTTGCTGCTTTGTCTCATGTGAATCGATTAGTGTAAAGCATTCAATTCATGTTTTATCTGACTCGAAGTATATATTAAACAATCAAATATTGTTCGCCATATATTCTTTACCCTTTATATATTTACTATTAGCATTGATCTGCTATGAATAGTAAATAGTTTTATATATTATTCTTTATAAACAAGATTTTAAAAGATATTAATTGAACTAGAACTAAATGTTTTCAATGCCAAATCGGATCGATATGAATGAATACATGTACAATGTTTTCGAAGAAATTCGTCTTTTTTTGTTTTAAGAATGAACGAAACGTTTTTAGCAATGATATTTGTGCTTTTTTGATTCTCTGGAAAGTATTTCTGGCAAGTCAAAATCTATGATTTTGTGCTCTTTTTAAATATGGACTTACGAGGAAAGTCCTCCAAGTAATCAATCGTTTTTTCGTAGAAACATACATGACTGTATGCAGTTCACTGCGCTGATTCCAAATACCAGGATCTTAGAAGTCGTTAGGCCTTTTTAGATTCTTTGTCATTATTTTCGTTCGATTTCTGCTAACGGTGTTTTTCACCAAATTCAATCGTTTAATCAGTCTGCCATGTATCACCAGACAAAATATCTACAAAAACACTTTTTTTTATTATAGACACCTCAATCTTAAGTTTCAAATACTAAGCAATAAATCAGAGAAGTCAGTTATATATTGACTGGAAACAGCCATCTATCATTTATTTTCTTTTTTCATCATATATTCACAAATCAATCATAACTATCTTGTATGTAGCAAAGTAGATAAAACCGAGAGAAATAGAAAACACATATGCTAGTTTCTCAAAACATACAACACTGGGACTATGAGAGCATATTTCCAACACAAGCGGTTAATTGAACGAAATTATATAATGCAATACATAAGATAAACATATTTCTTTATGCTTTATTTTGTGAGAATATTAACTCCATAAGGACACTTGCATAGCTAGTCTTTTTCTTCCTACAGTACATTTTAGCATTTGAAACTTAAGATTGAGGCGTCTATAGAAAAAAAAGTATTCCTGTAGATATTTTGTCTAGTGATACATGGCAGACTGATTGAAACATTGAATTTGTTGAGAAGCACTGATATCAGAAATGAAACAAAAATAATGGCAAAGAATCTAAAAACACCTAAGGGCCGCTCACATTCTGATATTCGGAATCAGCAAAGTGAACTGTATACAGTCATGTATATTTCTACGAAAAAGCGATTGATTACTTGGGAGACCTTCCTCGTTAGACATATTCTTCGAGAGTGGTGAAATAATCTCTGAAAAAACCGAAAAATTAGTCTTGATGGAAAGCTTTTGTATTTTCAACATTGCGATTCGAAACTAAAAGTTGGCATCTTCATCTATATAGCAGTTTGTTGATGATAAACTACGCTACTAAATGCATTATTCCAAGTTTTCGCATTTCAATTTTCATTTTTTTGTAAATGCTCAATACGTAAAAAATCTACAACTGTTTTGTCTTGAAAAAAATTCTTAAAAAAGTATTTCGATAAACGCTACGGCTTGACTCAATATTACATTTTATAGAGAAATGATCGTTATATAAAACGAGAGATTCCAACGATTTTCTGCATGTTCTAAAAGGAATTTCTATGAGAAACAAAAACCTATTGGCTCACTATTAAAAATAATTTATCAAAAAGTTCTTCATTACTCTTGAATGAAAACTGTACAAAATTTCTGAGTCCTTAGCCTAAAGAACACAAAATTCTTTCAAAAAAAAACAAATGCATTGCATATTAAATATATTGATTTTTGGTGTGTTTGGTGTGTTTGGTTGAAACTTTTCTGTGAATATTAAAAGCCCTAAGATTAATTTCTTTTTAACTTTCAGATTTAACCAAAAAAACAGAAAGGTCCAAGACGCTTTATTTAGAAATTTTACACAAAAAAAAACACAATATTTCAATCGTTCTCAATGCTTAAAATTGTGTAGTTGCTTCCTCAGATGTCGTTCGATTAACATTATTAGTATCTAATGTTTGTTGTTGATATGCAAAAATAATTTCTTCACGTCGTCGATTAAGTAAATCAGCAGCACTATGTTCAATAGCTTCTTGATCTGTCATTGATGCAAGTAAACCACGATGTCGACCCATTAACATTGTTA